CTTCATGAACATGCAAACACTCACAGTAGCACGCAAATAGCTTTTATTAAAGAGAAGGAAAGTACAAGGCTCTCGGCATAGACACCGAGAGGGGGTAAAGAGTCCCCCAAAGGCGGACTTACAGCAATTTTTATATTCTTAATCTGTACCTTTTTGGCTGGTTCCTGTCCTTAAAATATGTCATTTTAAACCAATCAGTTTAGAGGTCAAGATGCTTAATATTTTTTATGGCTTCTCTTTGTCCTTGGATTAAATTGCCACCCTTTTTCATGGCCCCTAGCCATTTTACAATGGATCAGATATATCCGCTGAAAATTAATGGGCACCAGTGGTTTTTTCCCTCAGGCATATGGAACAGAAGTTAATTACTACCCTTCCCTGGATCTGAGTGCTGATAATTGATCAGATCAAGGACACTTTAAAAGGTCTGTCTAATCAAGGCTATGGTTTTTCCAATGGTCATGTATGGATGTGAGAGTTGGACTATAAAGAAAGCTGAGCACCGAAGAATGGATGCTTTTGAACTGTGGTGTTGGAGAAGACTCTTGAGAGTTCCTTGGACTGCAAGGAGATCCAACCAGTCCATCCTAAAGAGATCAGTCCTGGGTGTTCATTGGAAGGACTGATGTTGAAGCTGAAAATCCAATACTTTAGCCACCTGGTGTGAAGAGCTGATTCATTTGAAAAGACCCTGATGCTGGGAAAGATTGAGGGCAGGAGGAGAAGAGGATGACAGAGGATGAGATGGTTGGATGGCATCACCGACTCGATGGACATAGGTTTGGGTGGACTCCGGGAGTTGGTGATGGACAGGGAGGCATGGTGTACTGTGGTTCATGGGGTCACAAAGAGTCGGACACGACTGAGCGACTGAACTGAACTGAACTGAAGGACACGTTCCAGCAATTCTGGACAAAGGGTAAAACTTTAGGAGAATGGATCGAGGTGTTTATTGAAAACAAGATCGAAGTCTCAGAGCCCTACACTGACTGCCTAGCAATTTCTACCTCAAACCACCCCCTCTAGAGATGGAGATTCTAACTGCCATTATGGGAAGAGGGATGAAGACCAGTCTCACTTCTTTGAGCCTGTAGGGACATTGTTAGCAGATGATAGTTGGGTCTCCACCTGTGGGACGATCTAGTGTATCTCAGTATGTCCCCTTAGGTGCCATTTCCATAACCATTTGGAGTTTGATAATTTCTTTGTGAGATATTACAAAGAGAGAATTTAGAACACAAGGGCCAAACAGAATAAGAGCAAAGGCTTCCCACCTGGACCAGGGGTTTCCACCAGGTGGAAATTGATATCCAGTTCCATAGGGCAGTCCCAAAAGGAGGAGTGGAATCGGCCATTGCCTGGACATTACTTTTCAGATCTTGAAGAGAATCAGGCACATTTTGTGAGTAATCAGCTATATATACACAACACTGTATATGAATTATGGCACAAGTTCCTACCTGTGCTGCCATTAATATATCTAATGCCTTTCTATTTTTGCATACAGCTTGGCACATTAAAGCTTGTCTGGAATTGAAGGCTGCAATCTCCATCATATTATCATTTGAAGCTTGTCTTGTCAAATTAGTCTAGGCTTCTTCTCTGAGTATTATGTCAGTAGTGCCAAGTGATGGCACAAATATTGCAGCCAGGAAGTCATACCAGTGGAACACAGATGGTGTCCATCTCGCCTGTAGCATGGGGAAACTGATTGGATTATGAGGTAATTTGTTTAAAATTTGACCATGTGCAAACAAAATCCCAGGGTACATTTTGCAGTCCATCCTGGGGGTAACTGGGGCCAAAGGTTGGTCCCACATATCCAGTGGGTTCCATTTGGGGCTAAAAATCATATGCCTGGACAGTTGACCCAATCAGTCCCTGGCTATATGACTGAATCTGCTGAGTTCATATGATTTACTGTTATTGTTGGATTACATAAAGACTTTGATAAGAATCCTGAAGGTTTAGTACTGTCAGGATACAATTTGGTATGATTATTTTGTTTCCAACAAATGGGAGCTGTTTTTATCAATTGCCCCTTTTCTGGGGTTATCCACACATACTGGTCCTGGATCTGGTGTATTTGTTGGGCAGTTTGTTGTGTGGTTTCGGTTCCCTTGCCGGCATAGCTAGTATTGGTTGCTTCTTTTATATAATAGCCATAGGCATCTCCTTCTGTTTGATCATAATCAAAATGCAGATTGTGACCCAATGCATTAGTAGTATTACACCAAGTCAATAAATTCATGTTAAGGACATTTAAAATTTTGGTTTGATCTTTATCTTCTTGGGCAAAATGACATATGCTTAGTCACTAGCTGTGTCTGACTCGGTGACACAGTGGGCTGTAGCCCATCAGGTTCCTCTCTCCATGGGGATTCTCCAGGCAAGAATACTGGAGTGGGTCTCCACGTTCTCCTCCAGGGGATCTTCCCAACCCAGGGAATCAAACCCAGGCCTCCCTCATTGCAGGCGTATTCTTTACCATCTCAGCCACCAGGGAAGCATAAAATGACATACCTTTTGAAAATCAGATCCATCTAAGGGTGACATTAACCAAGGCGGTCCATGAATGGAGGTTAATGGTAGAACTCCATAAACTCAACCATCAGATCGATTTTCGAACATTGCCTGAGAATGTGCCCATAAAATGAAAACTTTCTGTGTCCAGTCTAAAGGGACTTAAGAGGCCATTATTGCATTAAGAAGAACAGAATAGAGTAGTATGTGTCCGTGCATGTTGTGATAGAAGAGGTACTTAGCTGGGCCTTTCTTGAACAGTCCTTTTGATCTTTCCAAGAGGGTGTATTGACATTCCAACCACTGAGAATCCTCTTGTGATTTCTGCTCTGGGGGTGTTGGGTGGTCCTTATGATTTTTTCTTGGAGGATTCCAAGACTTTATCCATGTGTGATGATTCCTGGTGTCTATACCTGTAACCTTAACAGTGCCTGGTGAAGGGAGAATAACAGAATAGGATCCCTCCCACGTGGGGGTTAAGGTGTGACTATTGTTAGGAATGGCCTTCCTAATACCAAGTCCTCAGGATTATATTAGGACTTTTTATTTTCTTTTTGTTGTGCGATCCCATCTTTTAAAGATTGTAGCTGTCTTTGGAAAGAAGTTACTTAGTGACAAATGTTAGTTCAACTGTTTCTTGATCTAGAAGTCAGTCATTTGTGACAAATGGCCTTCCATATAACATCTTAAAAGGGCTGAGTCCTATTGACTGTGAAGTATTTCCTACTACAGCTAAAGGGAAGTAGTGAAATACACGGAAGGTGAATTTCTTGTGATAGTTTTCATACATGTCTGTTGATTATATCATGGGCTTTTTCTACCTTGCCTGAAGATTAAGATTCTAAGGACGATGTAAGTGAAACTCAATTCCTAGGGCCTGAAAGACTCATTGCATTATTGCAGGCTGAAAGGCTGGGCCATTGTCACTTGGAATTTTTCAAAGTAGACCAAAGCAAGGAGTGACCTCATGTATTAAAATTTCAATTACTTATTTTGCCTGTTCTGTTCTACAAGGGAAAGCCTCTATCCAGCCAGTAAAGGTATCGACACAAACCAGTAGGTATTGGTGTCTCTTGCCTTGAGGCATATGGCTGAAATCTATCTGCCAATCTTCTCCAGGACACTTTTCTGTATGTTGTAAACCTGGAGGAGCTGATTGGCTGTCATGAGGATTATTCTTTTGGCATATTTTACAGTTCAGTTCAGTAAAGTTGTTCAGTAGTGTCTGACTCTTTGCAACTCCATGGACCACAGCATGCCAAGCCTCCCTGTTCATCACCAACTGCCAGAGGTTACTCAAATTCATGTCTATTGAGTCGGTGATGCCATCCAACCATCTCATCCTCTGTCACCCCCTTCTCCTCCTCAATCTTTTGCAGCATCAGGGTCTTTTCAAATAAGGTAGCTCTTCGCATCAGGTGGCCAAAGGACTGGAGTTTCAGCTTCAACATCAGTCCTTCCAATGAACACTCAGGATTGGTCTCCTTTAGAATGGACTGGTTGGATCTCTTTGCAGAAAGTTTGCTTTGGACATTAGAGGGTAACATATGTTTCTCATCTGTTTGAAGCCATCCTGAGGGGAGTAAAATATCTCTGTCAGACAGGGAACGTCACCGTTCCTCTGGGGAATAATGGGGTTTTATTTCAGTGTGAATCTTGTCCCACAGGAGGTGGTGGTTTAGTCACTCAGCCGTGTCCAACTCAAGACCCCAGTGACTGTAGCCTGCCAGGCTCCTCTGTTCATAGGATTCTCCAGGCAAGAATCCTGGACTGGGTTACCATTTCCTTCTCAGGGGATCTTCCCATCCCAGGGATCAAACCCAGGTCTCCTACACTGCAGGTAGTGCCCTGAATTACAGGCAGCTTCTTTACTGAGTCAGGTGGGAAGCCCCACAGAAAGGGAGCCTGAGTATTAGCAGACAGGGTGGCTGTCTCCTTTGTTGGTTGGTCGCTGGGCTCTTTTTTTTCCCTCTGTTATGTCAGAATCATCCATTTGATGGCCCCAGCAGTGTATTACTGCCACTTCTTTGGGTAGTTGAATTGCATCGAAGAAGTGTGTAGTCTTAATTTCATCTAAAAGGACAGGGAAATTCTGTCCCCTGTCTCCGGTCCCATGGTTGTTTAGTCCTTTTTCTCCCTCTCTCCTGGACACCTGAGGGCATCTCTATTGAATCCTCATCAGAATTGCCTCTGATGAGCACCTGTCCTATTAAAGGCACAGTTTCCTGGGGCTTCCCTGGTAGCTGGTAAAGAATCCACCTGAAATGATGAAGACCTGTGTTCCTTCCCTGGGTTGGGAAAATTCCCTGGAGAAGGGAAAGGCTACCAATTCCAGTATTCTGGCCTGGAGAATTCCATGGACTACATAGTCCATGGGGTCGTAAAGAGTCGGACATGACTGAGAGACTCACATTTCCTGGATATTTAAAGAGGAAAATTGTGTGTTTGAAATCAAGTGACTTTTGCACAGCCACACATTTGCAGGGCAGATATTAAATCAATTTATTTAAGCCTTCTGAAACCAAATACCACCAGACAGCACATGACCAGTGATCAGGAGAAATGAGACGGGAAAGAAAGTGTGTATGTGAAGAGAAAAGGATCCTGTTAATCAGGAAGCAGGAAAGTCATCTTTGCGTCGTTGATCTTGGTTCCATGCAGAAGGGGATGTGACTGGTCTCAGTGACTCTGTAGGTGAATAAAACAGGGTCAAAAGTTTAGTAGAGGTGAGTGTGTGATGGCTGACAGGGTTGAGCCTCAGGCAGCAGGCTGTCCAGGGTGCAGGAGCTGGTAGGGGATCCAGTGGACAGAATCCTGGCGGACGTCGATACTCCACAGCTCTGAGATGGCAGACTCCCTGTGGAGGTTTCCCCAGAATGTGCATATGGTGGGAGATTTTCTGTTTGTGATTGATTTGAGGTGTAGTGATTTCAGAATGCATGCTCATGGTGAAGTTAATCTAAACGTGGTTTACTGTCAATGTGGTTGAGTTTCATTCTTCTCCTAATTCCACAGATCTTTATCTATTGGGTCTTCAAGAACTAATTTTTTTTTAAATTTCATTTAGGAATATAGGTGATTATCAAAGTTGTATTAATTTCAGAGGTACTGGAGCCTGACTCATGTATACATACATCTATTAATATTGATTCTTTTCCAGATTCTTTTCTAATTTAGGTTTTTACAGAATATTGCATTTAGTCCCCTGTGCTATGCAGTTGGACCTTGTTCTCTATCCATCCTGTTTACAGTAGTTTGCTTCTGCTGACCCAAACTCCCAATCTATATCTTTCCCAAATCCTTTCCCCTTAGCAACATCTGTTCTCTATGTCTCTGAGTCTGTTTCTGTTCTGTAAATAACCTCCCCCATCTCTTATTTTTGATTCCATATACAAGTGATATGTATTGTAGTTGTCTTTTTCTTTCTGACTTACTTCACTCAGTATGATAATCTGTAGGCCCAACCACATTGCTGCAAATGGCATGATTTCATTCTTTTTTATGGCTGAGTAATACTCCATTGGATATTTGCAGCATTTTTTTTTAAATTATTAATCATATTCCTCTGCAAGCTGGTGTGTTTTTCTTGCCTTTTTTCTTTCATTAACTTTTTCTTAACAGGAGATTAAAGCCACACTTTAGCCGAGATCAGTGTTGTTTTCTGAGGCTGTCCTAGTTTTAAAACCTTAAAGATCCCAGTAACAGAAATTACCTTCTAAGCGGGAATATGATTCAAATGCATATTTCAGACAGTGTGGCTGGAAGGCATTTAAATTCTGTCAGAATCATGTGAGATGAAACACTGGTCTTGAGAAGCTGTGTGCACTCTTTAATCCTGGTGTTTCTGGAGGACAGACGTGTGTGGACAACAATCAGGTCGGGACTGACGTGAACACTAAGTAGTTTCCACCAACGTGTGGGGATTCCTTCTTCTCTCTGATGACTCTGGTCTGCAAGTTTCCTGCAGGATAAGGCTCTCTCACCAAAGCTGCTCAGCAATAATCAAGCAAACAATTTGTAATTTCATATGTCTCAAGATAAGAGAAATTACCGAACATAATAGACAAGGCTCTCTAGTGCTAGAATGCAAGTTATCGGGACAAATAATTGTTATGTGCAATGTTTGGCATCTATGAAATAGGTGCTAGTGATTAAAAGAAAAAAACCCCGCCTGCTGATACAGGCAATGTAGACAGGCTTGTTCGAGCCCCAGATTGAGAAGATCCCCTGGGGAAGGAAATGGCAAACAACTCTAGTATTCTTACCTGGAGAATCCCATGGACAGAGGAACCTGGTGGGCTACAGCCCAAGGGGGTTCTGCAGAGTCTAACACAAATGAAGCCACTTGTTGGGCATTAGGCCTAAAATAGCAATGTATCTTTTTAGGTTTATCTGGTGGGGCACCATTAATAACAAACTACATATACTTACAAAACTGTTGAACTCAATTTTATTCACTCCTCTGGACAGTCATCTGTGGAAAAACAAAATGGGAGAAATCAAAGAGCCTCTGATTATGACCATTCTCCAGTATTTTTCAGATTTCTTTTCTTTTTTAAGTAATGTATTTTATAAGAGGAGCTTCCCTGGTAGCTCAGTCAATAAAGAATCTACCTGCAGTTTGCCTGGAGAAGGAAGTGGCAACCCACTCCAGTACTCTTTCCTGGAAAATCCTACGGACAGAGGAGTCTCTCGGGCTACAGTCCATGGACTTACAAGAGAAAGATATAACTTAGAGATGAAACCACCAACAACCACCATTCTACATGAGATTACTTATGGAAAAAGAAATTTTAAATAAGTTGATTTGTTTCATGATATTTACATACCGGGTGAAAGATATAGTCAGAAAAAAAGTGTAATTTCATTACCATTGTCAGTGAAATTCACAATATTTTCTTCCGGAATCCCTCTGTCAGTCGTCTCCTTTTTGAACTTCTCATAGTCTCTGTCTGAAATCTCTTCATTTTTGCCTGAAAATCACCATGCAAAAAGGAGAACACACAGAAATTTCTGAATATACAGAACAAGGAATTGAATGTGCCAATCGGATCTCCACCTGTATAATTTAAGAGAGACTGAAACAGTTTCCATGTTCCATGTTGCAGATATCTGCTGTCTTAAGATTTAGTTTCCTTCTAACTCTGTAACTAAATCCTGCCAGCATCAGCAGCAGGACCCCCAAAGACTTGCAGGAGCTGCATAAACTTGAGACTCAAACCATCTCAGTAGGCAACTGACTTGCTTCTTTTTTAACTTCCCAGAACCTGTCCCTGGATTCCTAATCAATTTTCTTAGTTTCAACAGGTAGGAATTATTTGGGAAAGTTTGATGATGTGATATTCACACCCTATGACCTCCTGTCTCTTGGTAGATTACCTTCCCAGATCCTTAACTGAACACAAAGAAGCAGGTCTTATACAGTGAATACTGAATATTGTCAGCACCTCCTGAGGTTCTGAATGGAAGTGCTGACAGTGGACCTGCTACGTGGCAATGGCCATGGGAACCATGGGATGTCATACATACCGAACAGTATAACCTGATCTGGCTCGTTGCCTGTTTCATCCACGTTAATTGCTATCAGAGCTTTCTCGGAAACAGGAATAAATTCAAGTCGGTATGTACCCTCATCTGTGAGAGAGAGGAAAGTTACATACACACAACCGCTTTAATTTATTGTCATTTAGATGCATTGTGACATGATCCAGGCATTAACAACATTGAGGTGTGGGTCAATTCGCGGGTGCTCTGAACACTACCGTTCTCATGACAACAAGGAAAGCAGGCAATATATTTCCTCATCCCCACCTTTTCCTACAGTTAACCAGTCACTTCTTGCTATCTTCTAAGATGCTTTGTAGAACATGCTATGTAATGGACCTCGCAGGTTTTTTTTTTAATATCTTCAATTAGTTTGCTTATTTTTGGTGATCTTGGGCCTTTGTGGCTGTGCAGGCTTTCTCCACTAGCAGCGAGCGGGGGCCACTCTCTAGCTGCAGTGCACAGGCTTCTCCTTGCGGTGGCTTCTCTTGCTGTGGACCACGGGCTCTAGGGGTTGTAGGCTTCCGTAGTTGTGGATTGCAGTCTCAGTATTCCCAACGCCCAGGATTGAGACCACAGGATCAGTACTTGTGGTGCTCGGGATTCATTGCCCCAAGTCATGTGGGATCAACCTGGACCAAGGATCCAACCTGTCATCCGTGCACGGGTAGGTGGATTCTTCACTGGGTCACCAGGGAAGTCCCCAAAAGCTTTTTAAACACCAAGAGCATATTATCGAAACTCGGTTCAAAAAGTCTTTGTATTTCTGTTTCGCAGCCATGAAATTGATTTCCCCTGACCAAAATAAATTTACCATTCATAACCTTGTGTTCCTGCATGCCTGTGTTGGACCAGGCAACCTTCTGAACACTTTGTTTTAATTGCTGTGTTTCCTCTGCCCCTCAGTCTGGGGTATGACAGAGCCCACGGCCTTGTCTGTTGGTGTGAAGACATTTTACCTGCTGGGAAATGCAGGCAGTGACCACATAGTGGTGAGCTTCATCCCCACCTGAATATCTGCCCCGCCTCTCCACCCTGTCTGTCTACTCAGTGCCGTGTGTCTGGACATGAAGCAACTCTGACCTACTGCATATCCCCTCTATACCCTATACACCCATTCTCTCTCTCCTAGTGTCCATCACACCTTCCTGCAATCACTCATCAAGATGAGAGGAAAAACCACTCAGCTGTGTTCTGGAAATGTGCAAACACCAAGCTCAGTGTATAAACACACTCGTTAGCCTGCTTGAGAAGGAGAAAATTCACGAGCTGAAGCAGCTTTATAGTCTCATAGCCCCAGACAAGGTGTTTGCAGCTTGCCCAAGGCCACAGTGAGTCCATGAGACTTGGGTCACTTTGGGACAATTTAAGTCAGATTATGCATGTCCTCAGATTACTCATGGGCTTCCCAGGTGGTGCTAATGGAAAAAGAACCCAGCTGGAGACAAGAGAGGCGAGTTTGATCCCTGGATGGGGATGATGCCCTGGAAGAGAAAGTGGTATCCCACTCCAGTATTCTTGCCTGGAGAATACCATGAACAGTGGGAGTTGGACATGACTCAGCAACTAAACAACAACAGGTGCCTCATCATTGTGAGGGACCGGCCAAGTTCTGTGATTGGACACTGTGTTCATGACAAATGAGGTGCTCAGAAGATTTAGGACCAGCGCCTGGTGCAACTTCTAATTGTTAGTAAGCCTAGAATTCAGATATACGGAATTCTTGAGGGAACTTAAACCAAGATTTCCAGCCAAACATGTTTTTACCTCTGAAATGCTCATACTTACATTGGTATGTGAAAATGTAGGGTTCTTTCTTTATTAGACAAATGGGTACTGCTCTCCACACGTGATGCACCCTTAAAAACAAAAGATATTTAACTTGGTTGATGAAACTGATAAAAATGTGACAAGGCATTTGTTTCACCCTTCTAACGCCCCATGTCACATATCATGTTTGTGTCTCTGAACAGTATGACATTCACCAGAGAAGAAATATGTGTAACATCAAGTAAGTATCAAATGACAAGGCTGTCATATGAATACATTAAATCTGAGCATAGTTCCAAAGATGAACTGCAAATACAAACTAAGTCATGTTTACAAACAAATAAACGTTGAGAGATCAAGAATTTTAGGAAGGAAGAACAAATGTTAACACCTCTGTGATCCCTATCAAATTACCAATGGCATTTTTCCCAGAACTAGAACAAAAAATTTCACAATTCAGGTGGAAACACAAAAGACCACAAATACCAAAAGCAGCCTTAAGAAGAGTGGGGCTGGAGGAATCAACCTTCCTGACTTCAGATTATACTACAAAGCTACAGTCATCAAGACAGTATGGTACTGGCACAGAAACAGAAACACAGACCACTGGAACAAGAGAGAAAGCTCAGAAATAAACCTATGCCTCTATAGGAACCTTATTTTTGACAAAGGAGGCAAGAATATACAATGGGACAAAGACAGCCTCTTCAATAAATGGTCCTGGGAAAACTGGACAGCTACATGTAAAAGAATGAAATTAGAACACTTCCTAACACCATACACAAAAGATCAACTCAAAATGGATTAGAGACCTAAATGTAAGACCAAAAACTATAAAACTTAGAGGAAAACATAGGCAGAACACTTGATGACATAAATCAAAGCAGGATCCTGTATGACCCACATCCTAGAGTAATGGAAATAAAAGCAAAAATAAACAAGTTGGACCTGATTAAACTTAAAAGCTTTTGAACAGCAAAGGAAACTATAAGCAAGGTGAAAAGACAACCCTCAGAATGGGAAAAAATAATAGCAAATGAAACAACTGACAAAGGATTCATTTCCAAAATATACAAGCAGCTCATACAACTCAACACCAGAAAAACAACCCAATCAAATGCAAAAGACCTAAACAGACCTTTCTCCAAAGAAAACATACAGATGGCTGACAAACACATGAAAAGATGCTCAACTTCACTCATTATTAGAGAAATTCAAATCAAAACTACGAGATATCTCCTCACATTGGCCAGAATGGCCATCATCAAAATGTCTACAAACAATACATGCAGAAGAGGCTGTGCAGAAAAGGGAGTGCTCTTGCACTGTTGGTGGGAATGTAAATTGATATAGCCACTATGAAAGACGGTATGGAGAGTCCTTAAAAAACTAGGAATAAAACCACCATATGCCCCAGCAATCCCTCTCCTGGGCATATACACTGATAAAACCAAAATTGAAAAAGACACATGTACCACATTGTTCACTGCAGCACTATTTCCAATAGCTAGAACGTGGAAGCAACCTAGATGTCCATCGACAGGTGAATGGATAAAGAAGCTGTGGTACATACACACAACGGAATGCATTTGAGGCAGTTCTGATGGGATGGATGAACCTAGAACCTATTATACAGAGTGAAGTGAGTCAGAAAGAGAAAGGTAAATATCATATTCTAACACATATATACAAAATCTAGAAAAATGTTACTGAAGAATCTATTTACAGGGCAGCAATGGAGAAACAAACATAGAGAACAGCTTTATGGACATGGAGAGAGGGGAGGAGAGGGTGAGATGTATGGAAAGAGTGGCATGGAAACTTACATTACCATATGTGAAATAGAGAGCCAATGGGAATTTACTGTTTGGCTCAGGAAACTCAAACACAGGCTCTGTATCAATGTAGAGGGGTGGGGTGGGGAGGGAGGTGGGAAGGAGGCTCAAAAGGGAGGGGACATATGGATACCTATGGCTGATTTCATGTTGAGTTTTGACAAGAAAAAAAGCAAAATTTGTAAAGCAATTATCCTTCAATTAAAAAATAAATTAATGTTAAAAAAGCAATCCTGAATTGGGTTGCCATTTCCTTCCTCACAGGTTCTTCCTGACACAGGGATTGAACCCACATCTGCATTGGCAGGCAGGCTTTTTTTTTTTAAACCAATGAACCACCCAGGAAGCCCCAACTGTATCTCATGTGTGACAAATAATGATTTATAGATATATATTTACATACCAGTCTTTCCTGGCATAACTCTCACAGTTCTTTATTTTTCTATTTATTTTTTATGCATGCAGGCTACATGCCTTCAGTCATGCTCAACTTGGTGTAACCCTGTGGACTGTAACCTGCCAGGCACCTCTGTCCATGGGCTTTCCTAGGCAAGAATACTGAAGTAGATTGCCATCCCCTCCTCCAAGGGATCTTCCCTACCCAGGGATCAATCCTGCATCTCTTATGTCTTTTGCATTGACAGGCATACTCTTTACTTCTAGCACCACCTGGGAAGGATAATTTTTTAATTATATTGCACCATAATTGATTAAGGATGTTTTGTTAGTGCCAGGTGTCAGGACAGGGTTTCTGTTATGCATATACCTGTATCTGTTTTTTTTTTTAATTCTTTCCCCATTTACGTTATGACAGAATATCGGGCTGCATTTCCTGTGCTATGTAATAATTCCT